ATCACCAGTGTGCATATACCCTTTGTAGGTACTGTTCATGCACACCTCTGAAGATACAAAGCGACCTGGCTCCTTCTTTTAAGGTGATGCTAACCAGCTGATTGTCCTTCATTCAATCAAAATAGAAATAAAAATGTAAGACTATGAGCCAATGTATTAAATGATAAAAAGAGCAAAGGCGATTATTCGCAGCAAAGGCGATTATTCGCAGCTGCTTATTGTCTTTCATGTCTGTTGCTACCTTTCATATGGTTAGAGATTGATCCCACTAGGTTACTGCACATCACTGCTCTTTGTGCAGCCTTGTTAATTAGCCAGAAAGTGCTTCAGTCACCAAATGCTTGCCTCTGACAGAGATCTACAAATAAAAATGATTGTGTGTGCTCCAACAGTACCAGATATTTCAAATCTGATGCAATATTTCATAAATCAGCTCTGCTGTATCTACAGCTCAGAGCTACAATGTGTGCGTAAGTGTGACTTATGAGGCAAGCTGATGTCTGGCAATATGATTTGTAGAAAAGACAGAAAGGAAGTCCTTGAATGAGGGGGAAAAAAAAAAAAGGGAGATTCTGGGTTATTAACACCATTATAAACAGCAAAAGGAATACCCATTTGTTCTTGGAGTTGCTTAGTAAAGGTTTATCTCTGAATATTTGTAACAGTGATTTCTATGCACACAACCTAACTTCCTCTGTGTTTAAAGTCCACTGGCTTCCTACTTATCCTAGTCAACTAGGGAAAAAAAATCTGTCTTCTACAGGCATATATCTAATTTGTTTCAGTTCTAATAAGTCTGGAACATAAAACTGAGTCCAAGTTCAGATCTAACTGAAAGCCATTTATATAGCATATGTTTCCCAATTTTGTGTTTGATTTTTCAACATCTGCACCTCCAAGGGCTCATTTACACTGGCAAGGCTATATATGCATTTATAGAACACTTCTAAATTCATCTGATTTTAAATGGTACCATTCACACTGCGTTTACATGCGCTTAGGCGCATTTAGTTTAGCTGCATTTAAGGAAAATGGAATTCTGTGCACCCTCAGGCTTATTAGATATTGGGAACGCATCTAAGGGCATGTAAATGCAAGCACATTTAAAAGCAGAATAGTTTAATCTGGAAAAAATGTATATATATATATATATATATATATATATATATATATATATAATATATATATTTTTTTACTTTTCAGATAATATATCCTGGCTTTAATATACCAAACATAGGGAGCCTGTGAATGTTACCAAATTGGTAATCAAAGAAGATTCCATACAAGTTTGCAACAGACTGTGCTGTTTGCACCTTTCTTCCTACACCAAACAGCTGTATGATTGAAGGCCCCGTGCACAATTTACACTAAAAAAATGCTGCTTTTACAGGAGTTTGATGTTTATTTTCCTGCCTCTAAACTCCCCTCCATGTTATTTTTGTGTCCAAGCGCACACGGGCATTTACAGGCACTTAGAGGCAGAAAAAGAAACATCACTTGTGCATTGAAGAGAGAAGCGTGCCTAAGTGCTAAGCGTGTATAGCGACTGAGTGCTTTATCATTTCAATGGCCCAAAAAAAAAAAAAATGTATATTCTGGCTAATGAAATGAACAAACGCCCAAGAGCTTGACGAAACCATGGCTTAGGCGCATTTTTGATGCGCCTTTCCTTCTGCTAGGAAAAATGTGTACAAAAGGTCCAGTGTGCATGAAGCCTAAATTGGTGTATCGTATATCCTGAGAACACCAGGAGGGTCTACAAAGGCAGCTACAGGAAAATGCTTGTCTCTGCTGATTACAAATTGTTCCTTTTAGCACTTGGATAGGCAAATTTGTATAAATGTAGGGAGCCAGTGTTACTATATACACTAACCTCTAGGAACATGTGATATCATACCACCTAAAATGAAACTGGCATCTAGCGAACAAACAGTAGACAGTGAGTGCATCATTTCCTATGTATAGGAGTGTCTTATCAGAAATAGTGGATACTAATAAGCCAATCAGCTACATTGTTGAGCCAGTTTGGAATGGAACATTGGAAATAAACATTTCAAATAAATGTGGAATTATTCTGCTGCAAAAATAAAAAAAAAATAGCAGAATATGCAACATGCAACTGGGGAATGCACAAAGTTGTGATATCTACCAACCCTATTATTTACAAAACTGTTCTGACTACATCTGTGGAAGAACTGTAGTTTTGATATTGCCAGCCTCCATGTTATCAGTGTCTGAAATAATAACTGATGGTATTGCCCCATGGTTACCAATTAACTTTCAGATTGCAGTCAAAGTTTGAATCTGGCCAGCCTTTGGCAGCTAAGGAGCCACGGACATGACACAGTAACTGGCAGCGGGCTAAGCCAAATATATATTTAAAAAAATTAAAAAGTTTACCAATAATGTCAAAGTTTTTCAAAACTATATGAATTCAACAATATCTGTTTGTCCTAACAGTGGCAACGTTTGTTTTGGCCTGGGTGTATCAGTTAGGGAATGAAGAATGACGGGCTTAGAGCCCCTGCTTGGGCACCATTGCTATAAGGTGACACAATAAATGTGTTTTTTCCCCACACATAATAAAAAATGAGATCAACTTTATAGTAGAACTAAAAAGGAAAACTCCCCCCCCCCCCCCCCCCCATTTTGGATATAGCAAAAGAGGGTTATAATCCTTGTCCTTTTTTGCCACCTGTGTCCTATTGGGGAGATTCCCTTTCACTTCCTGTCCCACAGCCAGAACAGGAAGTGGAAGGAAATCCCTCCAAAGTGAGGGAATCCCGGGGTGTCACCAGAACTATTGTATCAATTGGAAGATTTTCCCTCTATTACTGTTCTGGTGGCAACCCAAAATTTGGGATTTTCATTTACTTTCACTTTTGGTAATAATGGTAAACAGGACCAATAGAGAGGGTGAATTTTCTAATGGAGGCACAGACAGCAATAAAACTCTAACAGGTGTTCTGATCCCTCTCCACTATATCCAAAAATTAAAAAATATATATATATGTTTTGCCTTTATTTTCACTTTAATTTTGCAGCCAACTTTTTACAAACATCCCAGGGCAAAACAAAAAGTTTTTAGTCACTTTATGGTGGGCAGGGATAAAACCATCAGGATTACAGCAGTTCTAGCTTTCAAGTACTAAGAGTTGAGTCTCCTAAAGGCAGCCTGACTAGATGACCATTTTTTTTTCCCTTTTAGAGAACATAAATTTCACAAGCCCACCATAAAGATCAGATACAGATCATAACATTGTTCCAGCTAAATTAACGTGTATGTCAAGCCAAAAACATTTTTTGTTCTAGATTACAGTACAGAAGGATTACTACTCTCAGGGACATTAGAAAGATTTCCCCTCACATCTTGTCCATAGCCAACATTTTCTGCAGACAGGAAGGAGGAAAGTTCTGCAACAGACATAAAATCAGGGGTTCTAGTCTTTTCCCACTCTACTAATAAAGAGTTACATCTCTGTGTTTTTACTGGAGACTTCTGGTAAAGGCAGTCGGCAGGACAGTGAGGGGAGTCCTCGGTTAGCAGTACCAAAACCCAACAGAAGGTCTAGTCTTTCCCCACGCTATTCAAAACTAAGAGTACAAGTTTTGGCTTGACCTACACTTTAATGGGCTTATAAAAGTATAAATATATTAACCACAAGTACATTGTCAATAATCATTGCTACCTTAGGAAACGCAGAAATACAAATGGGGTATTTATAAAAACTAGAGCATTTGGAATAGCAAACAATTTCTGCACTTTTTTTCCACTCATTATTGAATAATCTAGTATTTTACTACTTTGTTTATGTCTGGGCAAAAAAGAAAAAAAAATAACTAAAAAGAATAAAAAAAAAAACACTCAGTACTTTTCTGTAAAGCATGCACAAATCTCTATGTGTTTTGTATCTCTTGATCCTGCCAGAAATCCTGTGGGCGCCTAATTTCTTTTAATGAGCTGCCTCTGCTGCACTGCAATCCCAAGCAATGTTGTCAGCCTTAAGTCCTTTTCTGGACTAGAGAACACCCCTTCTCTCATCTTCATAACACATAGAGGAAGGAATACTTCGTACAACAGTAGCGAACTCAAGCCAGGTCACTGCCTGGGATTGCAGTGCTGCAGAAGCAGCATTATCAGCTCTCTGGCATTCTGGCAGGATCAGCAAGTATAGTTACAACAAGAGATGCAACACGGGGAAATGTGCATATATTGCAGAGATGTACTTATGATCCCACTAGGTTACTGCACATCACTGCTCTATATGTATCTGTATGTTTTATTACGTTGCCTAGACATAAATCTTGACAAAAGTGGGTAATTGTAGTAAAGTGCCAGCTATGCCCACAATTCAGCTTGCTTTATTCCTGTGGTACTCTCATGGCATTGTGGAATGTAAAGCCAGTAAACATAATGGGCTGGTTTAGAACAAGTAAAGCATGGACATTTGGGGTGTTGCCCATAGCAGCCAGATTCCAGCTATCATGTTTCCATTACCAGATGGAAAATAAAAGCAGATGTCACATTAACTTCTATGGGTGGCATCACTAGAGTCTGTTCTAACTTGATACAGTCCTCATGCTACTATGACACTGTCCCGTTTGTAATGCAGCAGAAAATGGATATAGTGGTTTTTCTCTGCCATGAGCCCCTCAAATCTTAGAAGGATATTTTCTGTGGCTAAATCTCTGTAATGCAAGGAATAAAAACATGAACATAAAACTTATGGTATATTATCTAATGTACAGCATCAGTTGTGAATAATGTGTAGTTATTACAGTACCCTTTCATAATGTTATGGGCTATTTTTTTTTTTTATTTCTACATTTTAATATCCTGTAGTAGCCGTCCTGCTGTGTGTTCCTGATGTTGCTGTGTAAATAACAGCATTTGATGTCTTTTGAGGTGACGGAAATGTCTTAGTATCAGCCTTGATTCTGGAACATGTGTCCCAGATGCACAGAAATTGTCCCATTTTGCATAAGAAAAGTGTCTCTGCTCAGTCTAAGGGCTCCTGCTTTATTCGAATAACAGAAGGTGCACGTGATGTCCTTTTCAGTTCTCGTCTCAGTACATATTCACTAAACTGAGAAGAGTCAACCCCTCCACCGCAGGAACCCACAATCTCAAATCCTCGCTGCTGCAACCTTTCCAGCACCTGCAAGTGGAAAGAAAGAAAAATAAACAAATACAAATAGAACACGAAACCACCATCAGAAAGATAGCAACAATTTCATGATTTTTGTTTTAAGTTAAAAAGGAACTCCACAATGGCTCAATGTGTGGTTTTAAAGTAGAACTCCATGTTTGCAATGGCTTTACAGTGGAACTGAACCTAAAAAGTAAAGTTCCACTTTTCCTCCCCCCCCCCTTCTCCTTCTCTTCCACTTTTGGATGTTTTTCTTTTTTTCTGGGAACAGGTAAGTTTCAGAGAGGTAGTCGCTCCCACGCCCACACCACCCGCAACCTCCTGGGACGCATCACATGTCCCAAGAGGCTGCAGGAGGTGCAGTGCAACTCGCACATGTGCATTGGGGAACTGCCTGTGAAGCTGCAGGAAGTCCCAGGTGGCTTCCCACAAGCTAGATGGTGCACCAGGGACCTGAAAACCCTGCCTGGGTGATGGCAGCGCTGGATCTCTGGGCTATTAAGTGCCTGTACATTAAAAGTATACAAAGTGTACTGCATTATAATGTAACCAAACAAAAATTGTGACAATTTAAAGTGTCCAAATGCAAGAGTTCTTGTGAAATCGTTGCAGAGGGGGAAGAATAAATCTTCAAAGAACCTCATCCATTGTGCTCTACCACCAACAAGAAGTGACTTAAATCTGCTTACCAAATGGATATGGCTCTCACATCAACAAGAATAGTATCAGGCTTTTTAAAAAATTCATAAAAGGTCATCATTCCAGATCTCTAGGAATCTCTCCCTCTGGAAATGGTCTCTCTGCACCAGGGAACACCTACACAGATCCTTCCACATTAAGGGTTTGTGCATGCAGGTAAGTACCCAGAGAAAGAAAATCACATTCTCCACATAGCAGGAAAACCGCTAGCATGAAAACCGCAGCATTTTAATTAAAATTACTAAAATTGCACTCAAAGACAGATAAAAGATAAACAGCGCTACAGACATAAAAGCACCAGACTCTCAAATATTCTGCACATCTAGTAAAACGTGATGTCATCCGACGAAACATGTCAGGTGGAGACTGTTGTGATGTCATCATGATTTACCGGAAGTGCAGAATATTCAGGAGTCTGATGATTTCATGCAGTGCTGTTCATCTTTTATCTATCTGTGAATGCAATTTTAGTCATTTTAACTAAAATCCAATGGTTTTCACACTATGACTCTTCTCCACCTTCAACTCTCTACTCTCGCCACCCCCACCTCCACCCAGCACCTCACTCACCGCCCTTGAGATTGCCAATCACTTCAAAAACAAGATTGACACAATTTGCAAGGACATCGCCGCAACTCACACGCCCTCTCAACCCGTCCCCTCTCACACAGCTACCCCCCTCATCCCCCCTCCCCCTCGACATAACCCACAGGGACTTCGTCGCTGCTCAAACTCCCTCCAACCCCCTTCCCCCTCACTCAGCTACCCCCTCATCACCCCTCTCCCACGGCCCCACCACTGCTCTGCTGACCTCCTCTTCCACCCCACCCTACATTCCTCATACTGAAGCTCCCCCAACACTCCGCACCTTTGACCTTACTACCATCGAGGAAGTCTCCAAGATCCTCTCTGATGCCCGCCTCACCACCTGCCCCCCCCGACCCTATCCCCTCACAACTCCTACGACCTCCCTCCCCCTCCATCCTACGCTCCCTCACCCACATCTTCAATCTCTGCCTCTCCTCCGGCACTTTCCCCTCCCCTCTGAAACATGCACACATCACCCCCATACTTAAAAAGCCCTCCCAGGACCCTAATGACCCGAACAACCTCAGACCCATCTCCCTGCTCCCATTTACATCTAAACTCCTCGAGCGCCTAGTCTACACCCGCCTATGCTCTCACCTCAATGACAACAACCTCCTCGATCCCCTACAGTCCGGCTTCCGTCCCCTACACTCCACCGAAACTGCCTTACTCAAACTCTCCAACGACCTGCTAACCGCCAAAGCTAATGGCCACTATTCAGTGCTCCTACTCCTTGACCTCTCTGCGGCCTTCGACACAGTCACCCACCCCCTCCTCCTCAAAAAACTACACTCCCTCGGCCTCAGAGATTCTGCTCTCTCCTGGCTCTCATCCTACCTGTCACAACGCTCTTTCAGCGTTACCTATAATGCTACCACCTGCCTCTCACTCCCCCTCTCTGTTGGGGTCCCTCAAGGCTCTGTCCTCGGGCCCCTTCTCTTCTCTATCTACCCCTCCTCCCTTGGCCAACTCATACACTCTCACGGCTTCAACTTCCACCTCTATGCCGACGACACACAAATCTATCTCTCAACCCCCCACCTCACCCCCTCGGTCTCCGCCCGAATCACACACCTGCTGAGCGACATATCTGACTGGATGTCCCTCCCCTTCCTTAAACTGAACCTCTCCAAAACCGAGTTTCTTGTCTTTCCTCCAGCCCGGACCCCCCCCCCCCCCATTGACTTCTCTATCACATCGAACAACGCTACCATCAAACCCGCGCCGCAGGCCAGAGTACTTGGTGTCATTCTGGACTCCAACCTATCCTTCCAGCCCCAAGTCCAATCTTTAACAAACTCGTGCAGACTCCACCTCCGCAACATCGCCAAAATACGCACGTTCCTAACTCCAGAAACCACTAAACAGCTCATCCACTCCCTCATCATATCACGACTCGACTACTGCAACTCCCTCCTCACTGGCCTGCCTCGCCGCTGGCTATCCCCGCTTCAGTCGATTTTGAATACAGCTGCCAGACTCATTCACCTTTCCAACCGCTCCGTCTCTGCCACCTCCCTCTGCCTATTCCTCCACTGGCTTCCGATTGCGCGCAACGGATCAAATTCAAAATCCTAATGCTGACGTACAAAGCTGTCCACCATACTGCCCCGAACTACATCACTGACCTAATATCCAAGTACCCGCCCAGCACGCACACTCCGCTCCTCACAAGACCTCCTCTCTAGTTCCCTGGTCTCCTCCTCCCATGCCCGCCTCCAGGACTTCTCCAGGGTGTCACCCATCCTCTGGAACTCCCTGCCCCAACCCATCAGATTATCACCTACTCTCCTCTGCTTTAGGTGCACCCTGAAAACCCATCTCTTCAGGGAAGCCTACCCCACCCCTTGCTAACTTGCCGACCTCCTACACTCTTCCTACCACTCCATCCCCCACAGCTATCTCCTCCTGCGCCACCATCCCCTCCCTCCTAGATTGTAAGCTCGAAAGAGCAGGGCCCTCAATCCCCTCATGTTTTGCATTATATTGTTATTGTTCTGTCACATGTTCTGTCCCCCTTTGTATGTACAGCGCTGAGCGAACTATTGGCGCTTTATAAATACTGTATAATAATAATAATAATGTGGAGCATGTGATCTCCTTTTTCTAGATACTTACCTTCATGCACAATCCCTCAATCTGGTGGGAGCTATGGAGGTATTCCCTGGTGCAGAGAGACCATTTCCAGACGGAGAGATGTCTGGAGACCAGGAATGATGACCTGTATGGATAAGCCTGATACGATTCTTGATGGTATGGGAGTCATATCCATCATTTGGTAAGCAGATTTAAGTCTTTTCATGGTGGTGGTGGAACACAATGGATGAGGTTCTTTGAAGATTTATTCTTCGCTTTCTGCAACAATTTCACAAGGACTCTTGCGTCTGGACACTTTAAATTGTCACAATTTATACTTGGTTAAAATTATAGAGCACTACACTTTGTACATTTATAGATTGCTGTTATAAATATTTTATAGGGTGCTTGCTGCTCTTATATTAATTTAATTTGTATGTTTACATACATAAGTGCAGTAACCACTTTTTGAATTATTCCTCTTTTCATTAAAAGTCAGCAGCTACAGTATTTGTAGCGGTTTACTTTTGTTTATTTATTTGTACTGACTGGAACTCCTCTTTAAATAGTTTGTTTAGGACAAGCTGGCCCAAAACATCTATTTCCATTAGTAAATGATTTGACTGCTGAGTCTGCAGGCGTACAGGCGACTTCCGGTTTGCTGCCTTAACTAAATTGAGCCAGCCTGAATTCTTCCTATCCATTCAGGGGGGGCCTTGTATTTTTATTAATTAATACAAGGATTTATATGATTAACTTAGGTAGAAATCATGACTTAATCCATCTGTCTCTCCACCTCAGCCAATCAGAGGAAGCCTTGTATTTACTGGCAAACTTTAAGGAAGGCAAGCGTAAAACTGTAAATTACACTAAGCTCTGTGGCAGCTTGCCCCTAGCACTGTCCCACTGAGGTCCATCTGGGGGACATCCAGCACCTAGCAGAAACAGAAATGTGCCATGTGAGTTTCTCTTTAACATTTTGGTTTCTGCAAGATGCTGGATGTCCCTGTAGACCATCGTAAGCTCCATTTATTGTTCACAATCAATGCATCATTTTGGAGCACTAAGCCCCTTCCATCAGGCAAAACAGTGACACAGATTGCCTGATGAAGAAGCTTAGTGTCCAGATACATCACACTAACTGTGGACAATAAATGACTCTGTTGGAGCTTATGTTCTGGTGAGATTCAATGTTTTATGTTTCCTGATAAGCTGAATCATCCTGAAACTGTACAGAGTACACTGTTCCTTTCTTCACAGGACTGAGAGAAAGCTGCAGAAAGCCAACATTTCAGATCAGAAACAAAATTTACAGCTTTACAGTGTTCTCCCCCAAAATTACTTTCTTTAAAAAAAAAAAAAAAAAAAATATCTTCATGCAATAAAACTTTCTCCACAGTCCTCCAGTAATTTATAGTAGTACCAATGTCTTTACATTACTTTAGCAGACTCAGATTTGACCATTAAAATGCAGTGGTTTGGAATATCTTGGACAGCACAGTGGCTAAATGGTTAGCACTTCCGCCTGGCAGTACTAGGGTCGTTAGTTGGAATCCCAACCATGGCTCCACCTGCGTGGAGTTTGCATGTTCTCCCTGTGACTGCGTGGGTTTCCTCCGGGTACTCCAGTTTCCTCCCACACTCCAATGACATGCTGGCAGGTTAATTGGCTCCTGTCTAAATTGCCCCTAGTATGTATGTGTATGAATGTCAGTTAGGGACCTTAGAGATTGTACACCCCTTGAGGGTTAGGGACTGATGTGAATGTAAAATATATATGAAAAAGCGCTGCGTAAATTGACGGTGCTATACAAGTACCTGAAATAAATAAATAATATCTTCACTGCTGTAATATGTATGTCCACCTTCTCGATGGGAAGTTTTCAACACTCTGTCGTTATATGTTATCTAGTTTTGCTCAGATGTCTCAATGCAACGGATTTGCTTAAAGCAGAACTTCACTGCATCTGAGCAGCACAAACCAAAAACACTGTTTAATTCATTGTTAATATTCAAACTACCCCATCCATCCATGTCTCCATAATTTATTTTGCTGAGAAATCACTTTGAAAAACCCTCCCTAGAATTTTTGGCCGTGGCCATCTTCAATAAGGGCAGACAATTTGTGTAGCATTTACTTCCTGGAATCCATCTGCCCTTAACCCAGGCATCCAGGCAGGAAGGTGTGCTTAGCTAAGGAAACCCCCTCCTGAAGATTCCTGGGATGTATGACAATATTTGCCTAGGCATAGAAACCAGGAAGTACCTGAAGAAATGTAAAATAAACATTTCAAACAAGTAAATATGATATACTTTCCTATCTATTTATCAATGCTAGCAGGATTATGATTAAAAACAGTGTTGACTGAGAGGGTGAAGTTATGCTTTAAGCTTCCCTCCTCTGTTTTACCCTCTTGACACTTTATTCCATGCCTCTCTTTGCTGTATATACAGTAACTTCAAAAACCCAATACAGTACTTTGTGAAATAAAATACAATGACAGGAGAACCACAGCACAGAATAGTTGTGCTGCAATACTAGATTTCATTAGTAGGGACACTAAATACTACATCTGTAACAGCTTATGTCCTTTCTGAGAAAAGAAAGGGTTTGCAAGAAGGAAATCCTTCAGTATTACTACAAGGAGCAATTACAAAATAAACTGGTGAATTCAGGTTTTCCTGCCAATCCCCTTTACCTCTTCAGCAACTACATAAACTATGTGTGCATATGTCTGGGAATGTTCATAGCTACAATATACTACAATAACACGGCTTTGTCATAAAAGTCTTATTTTCTTCTCATGTACTGAGCATTAACTGTCTGAGAAGGGGAAAACCGTAAAGCTTCTTAAAACACAAAGGTGATTGAAGTCCTTAATGCTTTAATGATGTCCTTTAATGCGTGGCTGTCAAACTACCCACATACAGTACATCTGAATGATTACTCTGGTTGGGAAAGCAACATCTATGTGGTCACCAAATGGTTCCCATTACTATCCATAACTCCAATAACTGGACATTTATACAGAGCTTGCATAATTACACATATGTTCAGAATGTGAAAACATTTTTTTGATCTAAACATCCCTAAATATCATACCTCTGCACAGAAGGGTGTAATTTGGTGGATTTGGAGAATTTATAGGAACATTTTTCTTTTAGCTCCCTCCTCCAATTTTGTATACAAATTCTGTGATTTACTATGAAAAGCCAGCAGAATTGGGTCTAACCTACACAGAAAATGTTGCAAGTGTGGTAATGTTCAGAAGCAAACGATCACATGCTGCAATGGTGTGTGATTTACCACTACCGAATACTGCTTACACTATAGACTTCCAATTGTTTCACAAGAGAATGAAAATCTGGACAGTCACACAAGCAATTTTCTTGCAAATTTAACCACTTTCTATCAGCTTTCAATTGCAGTTTGAAATTAACCCAACAAAGGATCAAACTTTATGATAGGTTGCTTTGATGCATGTGATTGTGCAATTTAAAGGTGGTTGAAATTGCTGTATAAACTGCCCAAGCATATCACCAGCTTTAACAAATAATTGCAGCCATTGTTAGTAGCATGGGTGAGCCAATATAAAAACTGTCCATGTAGCTCTGGCTTATGTCCAGTATACACAGTTTCACATAAGACCCTTGATTGCCACTGCAAGCAAATTGTAACACCTACAACTCCATTTATGCAGTATTCACAGGTACATGGATACAGTTATGTTTTCTTACCTGAACAGAGTTGAGGTGGCAGTATCCATTGAGTGGAAATCTAATAACATGTGTGGAGTCATGGTTCCAGCCCGCATTGACAGAATTACACATCACGTCACCAATTTCAGGAAAAACTTCCTCTATTAGAGATTTTTCTCCACTCAGTGTAATCCTTTCTCCAAGATCTGGAGCCACCCTGACAACTAGACACTCGCAAGGCCTGGAGAAACGGCCTGCTTCTCTGTCCTGCTTCCATCGCTCTAACTCCAGCAGCATCGGCTGAAGCTGGAAGTACTTTGCTTCTTCATACAGGAGAGTGTAATCCTGGAACATTATGTTGATTAAAAAAAAAAAAAAAAATCAACTCGTATAAAATAACATTATGCCTGTAGGTTCAGCATACAAAATACGTCAGTCTGGAATCAGGAGCATGTTCAACCAAATGTAATAACAAAAAGATATAACAATGAAGTATCAAGCACACTTTACAAAATGCCGTTGTTACATACTTTATCACAAAACTTCACCCATGCTCCAATGTGAAACCCCTCAAGATGATATACTGGAAAACTTTTTGTTCACAGTGTATGTTCAGGACATGGGTGGCAGCATCCGGAACATACACAGATATTCTTGTGTGACTCTGGAATTGTAGTAAGTCAAAATCTAAAATCACATAGGACTTACCTTTATTCAAACAGTATATTCAAAAACAGGACAAGTGGACACTGATATGTAAGCTTGTAATCTTAATTTGTGGAAATGCTCTACATAGCGGATATAGCTACAAGAGCCCCCCTAAAGAATTGTGGTAATGGTACTCTTGCATCTGATAAGAGAAAATGGATGCTGAAGGTTTGCATCCCTGGTCACCTTCTGCCTAGACAGTATAATAAGCGGCATCACTTATGCTTGTGCATCCACCCCACCTGGAAGCAAGCTCACAGTGTTAGAATGACAGCACTGTGCAATGCAAAATAGCCTTATTGGCTCAATATCCTAACAGCTTGCCCCTCCAAATCTGAGTCTGAGTTTTAGTATGCAGGGGGATTCTATGCAGACAACAAACCAACTGTTACATACTTATATGAGCAGTCTTTCAAAGTATGCTTTAGATTGTTTTAAAGGATCTAAAAATGTGCCTGGAAGACCGACAGAAAATCTGCAGCCTGTCATTACAGACCTCTTTAACCCTTCTGCTGCCAGAGCAGTTTTTTTTTTCATTTTTTCCACACGTTTAAAAAAATAATTTTAGGCCTGAAGATTACACAAAACCCCAAAAACATTATATATTTTCTGAAAGTAGACACCCTAGAGAATAAAATAGAAGTTCCAATTTTTTAAGTCACATATTATTGCAAAGGTCTAGCAAATGCAAAATTTCAGTAAAAATCACACTAAAGTGAATTTTAGGGCAAACAAACAATTAATTACCCATATTTTTGGAAAAATACAAAAATAGATGAGGCCGTATCAAGTAAATAGATACCCAACATGCCAAACCTTAAATTTGTGTGTGCCTATGATATTGTGCCAGACTTCAGTACCCTTTATTTTTTATAGACAACACTTCAAAAGCCATTACAGAGGAGGTCTGGTGCTAGAATTATTGTTCTCGCTCCAGCATGCGCAGTGATATGCAACCTGTGTATTACAATCGAAATTTTTATGCGTAGGCGCCCCAACATGTGCATTTACGTTCGTACGTGCATATACGAGGGGGCTCAAAATTATTTTTTTTTGGGGGGGGGGGGGATGTTATGAGCTTGGGTGTAACAATTTTTTTTTCTTACATAAAAAATTTTTTCCCCTCATACCATAGGGGACACAAAGCCCCCTATATGATGATTTTTTTGATGACAGGTTCTCTTTATTGAGACATGCAGGGCCTAAAGACTCTGCATGTCTCCTCTGGGTTCCATTAGATGTATTGGAATTGGAATGCAAACCGCATTGCAATACATCTTTCCCTGGCTATTCTAGCACAGGAACTGGGGTCTATGGAAGTGAAGCTGCCTGATCACTTTTGCCTGTCAGTTTTATACACAATCCCAGCGGCGGAAGCCACTGGATTGTGTACAAAACCCCCTGCTGTCAGGTCCATACAGCATATGAACATGGCAGTGAAAGGGTTAAAAACACACTTGTCACCTGTCTGTCATGGTAAATTTCTAGCTTCAAAACTTTTAGACACTGACCCTACTAAGGCATACCAGAAAGACTTTCCTGATGCTGGGTCAGTGAGTTACAAGGTATTAAAACGCAACAGGTCAGAATAAAAGTCTAAGTTTAAAAAGGATGTCCACAATGGCCCTGTATTTATTTTTATTTAGTATACCACTGGATTAAAAAGTGTCCTTTTACAGTGCTATGAAAATTTGAGAACCCCATGGAATGAACTGGTTTTCTGAAGTAATGTGCCATACAATGTGATCTGAACCTCATCTGCAGTGGATATAAAAAGTCTACACACCCCTATTAAAATGTCAGGTTTCTGTGATGTAAAAAAACGAGACAAAGATAAATCATTTCAGAACTTTTTCCACCTTTAATGTAACCCATAAACTGTACAACTCGGTTGAATAACAAATCACATTAAATTTATTTTCAATCACATTCTTTTAGTTTTTTATGTTTACTTCCCTCCCCTAAAAAGATTTCAGTTTGATTTTCAATTGAGTTGTACAGTTTATAGGTCACATTAAAAGTTCTGAAATGATTTATCTTTGTCTCATTTTTTTTACATCACAAAAACCTGACATTTTAACAGGGGTGTGTAGACTTTTTATATCCACTGTAAGTCACGGCAATAAACAAACACAATGTGCTTAAGCTGATAATACACACACAACTATAATTTCTTGTGTTTTTACTGAACATATCCATTAAACATTCACATTGCTGGAGGAAAAAGCAAGTGAACCCTTGGAGTTAATAGCTGTTTGAACCTTCTTTGGCAACAATGACTTCAAGCAAGTGCTTTCAGTAGCTGTGGATGATACCTGCATAATATTCAGGAGGAATTTTTCGACCATTCCTCTTTACAAAAGTGCTTCAGCTCAGACACGTTTGTAGGATGTCTGGTGTGAAGGGCTCTTGAGGTTATTCCACAGTATCTCTATGGGGATAAGTTCTTGGCTCTGTCTGGGCCATTTCTTTTTCTAAAGCTAGTCTGTGGTGGATTTACTTTGATGCTTAGGGTTATTGTTCAACTGCATCACCCAACTTCTACTAAGCTTCAGTTGGCGGACAGCCACCCTGACATTATCTTGTATCATATTTTGGTAAACTTGGGATTTCGCTTTCCCCTCAATGACAGCAAGTGGTCCAGGCTCTGAGGCAGTGAAGCAAGCACAAATCATGATGTCCCCTCCAAATTGTGTTTCATCAGCTCACAAAACATTTTCCCAGTAGAATTGCGGTTTGCCAAGGTGCTCTTTTGCAAACTTCAGGAATGAAACAATGTTTTTTTTTGGAGAGCATCGGCTTCCTTCACAATGTTCTGCCATGGACACCCTGACTATTCAATGGATTACTAATGGTAGGCTCATGCACAGGAATGTTTGTCAGTTCCAGTAATGTCTTCAAATCTTTAGCTGCTACTCTTGGGTTCTTCTTTACCTTACTGATGATTCCACGTTGTGCCTTGGGAGTCATCCTGGCTGGGACAAGGCAACTTGTCCTTCGAATGATTGATGCCTAAACACTTTGAAGATTGCTTTGTATCCCTTTCCAGGCTTATGCAGGTCAACTACTCTTGATCGTATGTCTTCAGAGAGCTTCTTTTCGTGTGGAATGGTTCACATCAGCTGATGCTTCTTATGAACAGCAATCTTAAAACATTTGAATGTCTTTTATCAAAGTAGCTCTAAACCATACTTCCAAACTCATTTCAATAACTGGACTCCAGGTGTGCAAACTACTACTGACTCCAATTAGCTTTCCTTGAAATAATTAGTGTATGGGTACTTTTTTCCTCCAGCACTGTGAATGTTTAATGGTGCATTGAATAAAGACACAAGAAATTAAAATTGTTTATGTTATCAGCTTAAGCACATTGTGTTTATTGTTGTGACTTAAGCTGGAAATAGATGGTTCGAATCTCAACCAGTGACCCCTACCACCCTCTCAGTGCCCTATATTTAGACATGCCATGCCCAGTTTTATTAAGCCTTGCCTTCCAAAGTAGTAGTTCTTAGAACTATAGGCTGTGCATTGCAGAACTCACAAACACTGATATTAAAAAGATACTAAAATGAATTTGCAAACAGGAGAAAACAGTTCTTTTTTTCTAAAAAGGCTACTTGTATTAAAAGTTTATTTCCAGCCAAAAATGTTCATTTTAGTTTTGGATAGAGTACAGAAGGAAGTACTGATAGTAAGGAGAAAGGTTACTCACTTTAAAATCATCAGAGATGAGGAGTTTTGATGTACGTAAAAAGTTCAATATATAACGAAACATTTGACCATCTCTATCAATAAAGTAATGCTGCTTTAAACTATCCAGAACAATGGGCTCTGTTCCATCGAATAGCCTCCCGATTCTGCAGAGATAAAGAATTCATTCATTAAAACAAAATAATTATGTTTGCAGACAAAACTAAGTGATGAAGAATTACAAAATCAAGCAAAGTGTACACTTTTACCTACCAGTTCCTTTTTTTAGGTATACAAAAGAAATGTGTATAATTATAAAGCAGCGAATGTGACATTCACCAAATATCCACCGCAGGTGAAATTTCCTGTTACGTGTTTAAATTACAATGGATGATTAACCATCTAGGAATATTTGGTGAATGTCACATGCAGGGCTTATAAATATGCCCCTAGATGTACTACCTGGAAATCTTTCTAGTATACCAAGATAAAAGTGGTAGAAATGCAACCTGGCCAGCTGGAAAATGAACTCTCTTATACAAACTCATGACACCATTTCGGGCTCATTTGACCACTGGGTGTCACTGTTCATGTAAGATCAACAGACTGAAGAAAAGAATGTACTATAAAGGTATATTAGCGTCGAGAATTTAACTGATCTGAAGTTTAAGCAAGTTAAAGAAAAAAAAGGGTTCCTTTACAAAGCGCAAATATACCATTCTGACATTTTATCATAAAGTAGACCTGTTTTTAAAATTCACTCTTCACATGAACTATGTCACAATTTACTTTACTAAGTTAATAAATTATTTTTTTAATTTAGCTTAAGAAGTTCCTTTTTCTTGCCATAATTAAAATAAAAATGCTTTTGGACACCATCAATTGCCCTAAGACATTGTGTGTGTTTCATACTATTTGACACTGCTCATTATTTACAAAACGCATAATGTTTTCAGTCAATCAGGCCCAGCCAGGTAGAAGGCGGTAAGGGAATTGAAGTAATGGCAATGACAACGTTATACAATCACTGGACAGCAATTCGAGGCAGGAAGCAGAACCTGCATCTTTAATAAACCTCCATGTACATATATATTACAAGACGATGAAACAAGGTTTATTAAACATTACGACACACTGATAAGATTGCTTACTACAAGCAGAACATTTTCAAATACACTGAAATCCTCTTAATTCTTTTGTTTCCACAATAATACTTCATTATTATGTACAGATTTAAACATACACAATAAAATCTGTGGGTTAAGAATTTTTCCATCCACACTGAACACATAGGAGTCGCATCTTTTATATGGAAATGCTGCCAAAAGAAAAGTATCCATAAATGCAGAATGAATAAATTCCAGATTATTAGAGAGATGGTATATATACCTCAAACTACGAACATGGAGACAAGAAAGGCTTATGGTCGATTCCAGTGTGAAGCACTTTGTGATACCTTAGGCATTGTTTTCCACAATTATTATCCCTTTAAATGAATCTGTTAATCCTGCAAGCTCCCTGATGAGGAATGAATTTCTGGTGTAGCACCAACGCATGCTAGTCACAATGCAATCTAGGAGGTGGCATTTAGTAAGTGTAGCCATGTCTTCTACTTTAATTCTTCAATTTTCCTTGTTGGCTTCTCCTACAACATGGCTAACCGCCCCTCAAGGGAAGTAAAGTAGACAAAGAAGAAGAGCAGCAAGTCTGGGACTCATTTGCTTCATATGTCAGTAATTCATCATTTGGGGATACAACAATCTTTAAAGTTATGAAGTCTCTAACAAGAAATTGGCTTGTACCTATGTAATAAAACATTGGTTATATTTCTGGAAGCAGTGATAATTCTCTCTGTTGCCTCATATAATCAGCAGTACTACACATTGAGAGGATCCCCTGAAACATGCCTGGAAAATTCAAATTGAGCATAATACGAAAACCATGCATATGTAGAAAATGTTTTCAATGAACGGTGTATCCCTAATTCACTTAAAACGGATCTAAGGTAAAAAACCTTTTTATGTCACAGAACCCCCCCCCTTATATTTACCTGAGCCCATTCCTGACCCAGCGCTGTGCATGAGAGCAGCGGCTCTCCTGACTGTCCCTCCACATAGGGCAGATTGATAGCAGCAGGAGCTATTGGCTCCCACTAATAAATACAGTGAACTTTGTGAGCTGCTTTGAGCAATTATAGTGTTTACGTGAATCACTCACACTAGTCACACACCTATATTGTGTGTTGATCAATTAAAAATACTCCTAAATAAGTACCGCACTTCACAGAAAATAAAAATGAAATCTAAAAACATAAAAATACCTTCCATATAAGTGCAATGTCACATAAAATAAACATATATAAACTCTTGTTGCGCAATTGACACCCAACAATCCGATCCCAATAATATGCGTTTTAGTCCCAATATCAACTGTGCATTCCTATTGATAATGGCTTCAATAGCATTCTTCCAATCTCTTCATCAGCACTGTGCCAATTAATGTATATATACAGTGAGAGCCCTCCACCAAATGTACTTTCACCTAGATTATATGACCAAACTATTAAGTGAGGTCATAAAGCACTTGTGCCCCTTTAATTATGACTCTTATATGCGTTCCCGCTACTGTCAATCAAAATCTGTGAGGACGGAGCGGGGGGGTGTTGTTGGGGGTCAGCATAGGAGCAAAGCAGCTTCCTATGGTGCCACTCGCAGAAGAAGAGGGGCCAGGAGCACCAGTGGGGGACTCAAAAAGAGGAGGCTTGGGGCTTCTCTGTGCAAAACCACTACACAAGGCAGGTGATTTTTGCTATGCACAAAACATAAAGAAATAAAGTTACATCTGAGACTGATGCCACATCTAGATTTCTGCTCCATACAGTAACAATCAATGCTTTTGTTTATGTCAGAGAATACAGCTTTCCCTTTACTTCTGGACCTGCTGTGGTTATGAGAGCTGCAGCTCATTCTTGTATCCTTTCCGTTTGTCCAGTCACAAAACACCTTGTATTCTGTAAACCATTCACAAAATACAAGGAGTTCTGTGACTGGACGGACGAAACGGAGAGGAGGAGTAGATGAACGACAATAGTGTTAGCCGCAGCAGGTCAGAAGCACAGGAAAAGCTGTACTATCCGGTATGAATAAAAGTTCATAAATAATACTATTATGCAGAATTTATACAGTGCCAACATTTTGTGCACTTTACAATATTAAGGGAGAAAGTACAGTTACAATGCATATCAGTCCAAAAGAATTAGGAGGGCCCTGCTCATGGAGCTTACAATCTAAAAGGGAAAATACTTTTTTGCCTGAAATTCTGCTTTAATCTTTCTGACAGAGTGATATTTATGGAAAAAAAAAAGAAACCAGTACCAATTCTGTCATTAGTATTTAGCTCATACAAATAAGTACGTCTTGGATCAGAAATGGCACTGAACCCACCCTCCAAAATGACTTCCCTGTACTTTGTATTTTGCTATCTGTCCAACAATTTCTCCAGAGTGGGTCTGGGTCCATCACTGCAAATGTGAGCCACGGTGGGGGTGTTCTGTCCTACAGTGCAAAATGACCCACTAATTGATGCTGAGCCACGGTGGGGGTGTTCTGTCCTACAGTGCAAAATGACCTGCACCCAACTACCTAATTGATGCTGTTATGTAAAGGGAAACCCTTCAAGGACTTAAACCACGGTTTTGTCTAAATGTTGAACTAAGGTCTATGGCAATAAAATAAAAAAATATGGCCTTTATTGCAATTGAAGGTGTTCTTCTTGCCATGTTTCTTTTTATTGGACACTGAGCTCCTGCGTACATTCTCAGCATGCCTAATTGTTTTGGTGCTGGGATGAATTCCTATACGCATGTATAGGAGTTATATGGGCAAAATGGGACAAATCCCCCAATCTGATAGAAGACCAGTCACAGGTTTTAGTAGCAGTGATAGAGTACCAAGGAATAATACAGATGTCACATCACTAGAAGGGGTACAGGTAAATCTACCATAATGTAAAAATATCCTCTGCACACTTGTATATTATGGAAAAAGCCCTGGGGATCCTCAGCAGAGTTTAATTCTACTTTAAATGTCAAATGCAAAGATGATCAAATTACTGAACAGGTCTAATTACAGATGCATTTACAAATCCACATTGCATCCTACTATTTATAGGTGATTTGTACATTAAAAAGAAACTCCAGGAGTAACAGCTGGAGTTTTTGTACAAAAAAAAAACCAAACTATTTTTTTTAGTATGAGAAAAAAAAACATTTTTAAAGCTTAACATTCTGCATCTGCCACTGCCTCACCTCTTCACTACTCTTTGGACTGCTAGCGAGCAGCAGAGCCCACCTAAGTTCCCCCTCCTCCTATCAGTTTACATAGTAATGCATCCCTACTGCAATCGTTATTTCTATTTTCAGATAGGATCTAACCACTTTCTAGGCAGATTTTATACATAACTGAATCAAATGTTTTGGATTATTTGCCAGGAGAATTCATGTAATATGCAGGAAAATATACTACTTTCGTTTTGCCTCTTCCTATACAACTACAGAACAAGGGAATTCCCCCAACGTCTAAGAGGGGTGTCAGAAACATGATATCCAAACAGCTTGGCCAAAAAATTTAATCCACAGAATGACTTGGAGCCTTTGCAAGAAATACAGTATTCCCGAAAAAAGTGTTCCCAAATATTTGAGGCAAGGGGGCAGGGGGCAGGAATTTTAGCAACTAAAGTCACATAGTAAAATAAAGTTAAAACACGTGCATACAGACAGAATACATTTTTGACTGACAAACACCAACATTACATAAATTACCAAAGAAGGCCTTTTCTGTAAAGTTCTGATACATTTATATAATCTTTCTGGGTATCTCTTAAAGTGGTAGTAAACTTGCACATGTAAAAAAAAAAAGAAAAAAAAAAACCCTGCAAGGTAAAGGCATAATGTGCTAGTATGCATCACACACTAGCACATTATGAAATACTTACCTTAGAACAAAGCCCTCCAGCGGGACGCTGTCACCACTGACAGGGCTTCCATCTTCACCCATTCTTTCTGGGTTCGCATCCTCCGGCCACCTA